TCTGTTTTATTTGTGAGCATGTGTCATTCCTGTACGTGAAGTTAGAAGTATAAAATATAAACCTGTTTATTAATCTAAGTCTCCTAGTGAAAGCAAAAAATGAGGGGTCTCCCACTGGCCTTTAAAACGGCTTCCCCATCTGAAGTGAGTCCTCCAGAACACCTGGGAAAGGGGGAACTGTTAAGGAGAGGGATGGAGGTCAGCTCTGACTTGAGGAACTTTACTTGCATTCAGCTTAGCTGCTGTGGGGTTGGTTGGTTTGTTTTTAATTTTTACTTAGTAACTTACTTTGTTCTGTCTGTTTCCACTTGCAGTTCTAGAGATCCTCCTTTTTTATATTGAATCAAAACACTTTTATTATCAAACCCAATGAAAATCAGGGTTGTCCAAGGGCGGCTCAATGGCTGTGCCCGTCTCTCTGTTACACAGACTGAGATGGACTCATCTGGGTTTTGGTCCCACTGGGGCTGTGCTCCTGGGTTCTGAGAAGCCCCTATAACTGAGCCAGCCCAGAGAAAAGCTGTTATCAGTGTCTGTATCCCTCTGCTGGGGGCTGTTAGACAATTAGGGTTAGGCCTCAAGAGTTAATTACTTATCAACTAAACGAGTGGTCAATGCAAATAACATCGACTTTGATTGGTTGATTAATCTAAAATGAACATCCTTGGGGGCAGATCTGGATGCACAAGGGCTTGTGTGAGCATTCTGGCAATGGGACTCTGCAAGGGGGTCCAAGCGAAGATTGGGGGTTCTGCGTGTGGAGGTCTGGGGTGTGGTTCAGTGTGGTACAGCTCCAGGTGAAGCTGGTTGGGGCTCGGTAGGGTGGGGATCCAGGGGTGGGTGGGTCATTGGGGTGGTCCAGGTGTACAGGGAATGAGGCTCATGGGAAATGGAGTGGCTCTGGGTGCGGGGCGGGTAAAGCTTGGCAGGAGGGTCTCAGTATGAAGCGATTTGGGTACAGAGGACTTGGGCGGATGGGGGAGCAGGTACAGTGATCGCTCCCCCTGCAGGCGAGGAGCAGTGGGTGCAGGGGGAAGGGGGGGGGAGTTTTGCAGAGCTTCCTACAGATGAGGGAAAAATTGGAAGGTGGGTCTGACATGGCCCTAGATGACGTGCAGGTGAAGAGCCCAGCTGGGATTAGCAGCTGAGCTCGGTGCAGGGTCGGAGCCACCAGCCAGGTCTTCCACAGCCCTGGCACCTGCCCCACAGTGATTTACCTCTGCTGGGTGCCCTGCAGGCCCATAACCTACTGCTGGGGAGGGTCACATGGCCACTCCTGTGGCTTCTCTTTGCTTCCCTATTGGAAAGCAGGGCTGGGTCCTGCCGTGCGGGCAGGGGACTGGACTCGAGGCCCCGTCCAGTTCTAGTGGTCTAGGATTCTATGCTTCTATGAAAAACGTTAGGTAACCGAATGGCGGGAACATCCAGAGAAGGGCATTACCCCTCGCAGTCATCAGAACATCACCTTTGGCAGCACGGCAGCCCTCCCACCCACTCCTGGCATCATTGTTCTGTTCACAGACCTGGGTTTTCACAATTCATTATCTACCTGCCCCAGACGTGTGTGTCATTGCCACAAACACCAGAGCTGGAATTGCGTTGGGAGATTTTAATCTGTGTTCTCACTGTTCTTATCATGGGTATTATGGTAGGACCTATAGTCTGGAACTAAGTCTTGGGTCTTTGTGCTAATGGAGCACAGACACATAGTGAGTGGCAGTCCCTGCTTGACCGTGATACACATTGAATAGCTGAGCGTGACAGAGGATTTAATTCTCCATTTACAAACAAATGGGGACACTGAGGCACAAAGTGATTGAGTGAGTTACTCAGCTAGGGTACGTCTACACTACAGCGCTAGTTCGAACTAACTTAGTTCGAATTAGTTAATTCGAACTAAGCTAGTTCGAACTAACGCATCTAGAACTAAAAACTAGTTCGAACTAGCGTTTTGCTAGTTCGAACTAGTAAGTCCACATTGAGTGGACTCTGAACAGGGCTTAAGGATGGCCGGAAGCAGTGCCGGCAGGGCATAAAAGGAGGACTTAGAGCATGGAGATACTGTCTCAGGCTAGCCGAGGGCTGCGCTTAAAGGGTCCCGACCCCCACCCCGGACACACAGTTCTAAGGGGTGCCCCGCTTGCAAAGAAGTTCTGGCTTGGAGTGCCCTGAGTGCCCACACTGGGCACATCACACCACTCGGCCATCAGCCCGGCTGCACTTGCCGCAGGCTGCCATCTGGGGAGAGGGAGTAATTGGGGGGCTGCAGGAGAGCTTCCACCCCCAGAAGCCCGCAGAGCCAGCCCAGTCCTCCCCATCGGGGGCTCGTACCCCATTCCTCCCTCACCTCCTTCCACTTACCCTTCCCTAGCCCCCCTTCTTATTGATGTACAAAATAAAGATAACGTTTCTTCCAACATTGACTCTGTCTTTATTGAAAAAAACTGGGGGAGACTGGGAAAAGGAGGTGGGAGAGGGGAAGAGAAAGGCTGGGAGAGGGGAGGGCAACTAACATGATCAGGGGTTGGGAACAGGTCCCAGATGAAGAGAGGCTACAGAGACTGGGACTGTTCAGCTTAGAAAAGAGGAGACGGAGGGGGGACAGGATAGAGGTCTCTAAAAGCAGGGGTTGGGTGGAGAGGGTGCATTCAGAAAAGTTCTTCCTGAGTTCCCATAAAGAAGGACTAGAGGACACCAAAGGAAAGGAATGGGTAGCAGGCTTGAAACTAGTAAGAGAAAGTTGTTCTTGACAAAGCAAATAGTTAACCTGTGGAACTCCTTGCTGCAGGAGGCTGTGAAGGCTACAACTAGAACAGAGTTTAAAGGGAAGTGAGATCAAGTCATGGAGGTTGGGTCCATGGAGTCCTATTAGCCAGAGGGTAGGAGTGGTGTCCCTGCCCAAAGTTTGTGGAAGGCTGGAGAGGGATGGCACGAGACAAATGGCTTGATCACTGTCTTCGGTCCATCCCCTCCAGGGTCCCTAGGGTTGGCCGCTGTCGGCAGACAGGCTACTGGGCTAGATGGACCTTTGGTCTGACCCAGGACGGCCATTGTAAGCTCAGGGCTCAGGGTCGGGGGTCTCAGTGGACCCCCTTGATTTTCATGCACACCTGCTCCTGGGTGGCCAGGCTGGCACCTCTCCTGCCCTAGGCCTCGCTCTCTCTCTCTCTCTCTCAGCTCTCATCCATCTCCTGCCTCTCTCTCTGCCTCTCTCTCTTTCTCTTCTCCCCCTCCCGCTTTTTACTCTGTGTTTCTTTTCTCCTCCTACTGCTGCATCTCTTACTCTCTCTGGGTATGTCTACACTACAAAGTTAGTTCGAACTAACGTAACTTTAATAGGTGCTACACTAGCGCTCCGCTAGTTCGAATTTGAATCGAACTAGGGGAGCGCTTAGTTCGAACTAGGTAAACCTCATTTTACGAGGACTAACGCCTAGTTCGAACTAGCTAGTTCGAACTAGGCGTTAGTCCTCGTAAAATGAGGTTTACCTAGTTCGAACTAAGCGCTCCGCTAGTTCGATTCAAATTCGAACTAGCGGAGCGCTAGTGTAGCGCATAGGAAAGTTAGTTCGAACTAACTTTCTAGTGTAGACATACCCCTAGAGATTTCCACAGAGCCTGCGCTCAGACCCAGGTCCCCTGTGTCGCAGTCCCTTACTTGAGTCACAGGGTCATGGTCTCAAAAAATTCCCATGGGCTCTCTGAATGTGGCTGGGATACATTGATACAGTTCTCAGTTACCAAATACTTTGTGCATCCCTGAATTGCAGTGGACGGGTTCTCAGAATATTTAGTGGCCTCTGGGTGGAGCGCATAACTCTCGCTGGAAGCCAATCTCACACTTTCTCCCAGAGTCCTGAATAAATGGTAGGAAAAGCAAATAGTCACATATGCACGGTCAGGTCAGGGTGATATTGGGCTGCTGTGAGAAGAGATGGCAACAAACATACACGTCTCAGGTTGCACAGCAAGTGTGTTCATCCCTGGGAAGCCTGGCGACATATCAAGGTCTGAATGGGGGCAGCAACAGAGGCAGCAGGGACCAAAAGGAGTTGGGGGGAGCTTGGTGAAGGGAGGTAACAGGGGGCTGAAAATAAGCTTGAGGGCTGGAGCTGGAAGTCTCACACCCAGAGTCTGCCTCCTCCCCAGACCTAGTCTGCAGCTCAAATCCAGAGCCCTGGGAAAGTCAGGAACTCAACGGGGGACCAATCCTTCCTGGAATCCCCAGAGACCACCACCAAACCTCCCCTGGCAGACAGCCCCAAAGGCAGTGCCGAAAAGAATGATGAAAGGTCGAAAAAACATCAGCTATGAGGGAAGGCTGAAGGAACTGGGCTTGTTTTGTTTAGAAAAGAGAAGACGGAAAGAGGACATGATAGGAGCTTTCAAGTACAAGTTGAACCTCCCTAATCCAGAACTCTCTCATCCAGAAACATTCATTGTCCGGCATGATTTTAGTGAGCCGGAGGTCCGCTTTTCAAGGGAAGACTGAAAGAATTGGGCTTGTTTAGTTTGGGAAAGAGAACACTGAGTGGAGACATGATAGTGGTTTTCAGGTATCTAAAAGGGTGTCACAAGGAGGAGGGAGAAAAATTGTTCTCCTTGGCCTCTGAGGATAGGACAAGACGCAATGGGCTTAAACTAGGTTTAGGTGGACATTAGGAAAAACTTCCTACCTGTCAGGGTGGTTAAACACTGGAATGAATTGCCTAGGGAGGTTGTGGAATCTCCGTGTGGAGATATTTAAGAGCAGGTTAGATGACACCTGTCAGGGATGGTCTACATGGTGCTTGGTCCTGCCGTGAGGGCAGGGGGCTGGACCTGATGACCTCTCGAGGTCCCTTCCCGTTCTAGTGTTCGATGATTCTATGCTATGCAAATGTCCACACAGACAGGGCTGCATTGGGAGGGGGCAGATAGAGAGGTTCACAAAAGCTACCAAGTGGCCATGCAGATGTATTTGTAGGTCTATTTCCCTGCAGCCCCACACACTACATCACCGTGCAGGTGTCCGACCTCCGGTCAGTTTTCTCAGACCCGCTTTCACCTCCTTGTTGCGCAGGGTGTAGATGACTGGGTTCAGCATGGGTGTCACCACATAGCCAAACAGCTCCACAGCCGTCACCATCTCTTTGCTCAGCTGGGGCTGGGTGTAGATCACGGCACAGGGCCCGAAGAACAGCGTCACTACCACCAGATGGGAGGCGCAAGTGGAGGTCGCTTTGCGCCGCCCTTCTCTCGAATTCATCTTCACAACGGAGTAGAAGATGCGGACGTAGGACACGAGGATAAGGGAGAAGCAGGTCATGGGCACCACCCCGGTGTTGGAGAAGATCACTGTCTCAAGGATGTATGTGTCCCCACAGGCCAGCTTGGCCACAGGGAAGATGTCGCAGAAGAAATAATCCACCACATTGGACCCGCAGTAGGGCAGCGTGAAGGTCAGGCTGGTGAGGATGGTGGCATGGAAGGAGCTGGTGATCCAGCAGCCGGCAGAGCAGGTAGCGCAGTGGGTGGCAAATGGCCACGTACCGGTCACAGGCCATGACCGTGCAGAGCAGACACTCCGTGTACGCCAGGAAGTGGAAGAAGAAAACCTGGGCCATGCACCCGCCCAGCGAGATGGTTCTACTGTTGGCCCAGAGGATGGCCAATAATTTTGGGTTGTTGACAGAAGAGAACCCAAGGTCCACGATGGCGAGGTTGCTGAGGAAGAAGTACATGGGGGTGTGCAGGCGGGGGTCGGCGAGGATGGCTGAGAAGATGAGTAGGTTGCCCATCAGGGTGCAGAGGTAGAACGCTAAGAAGGTGAAGAAGAGGATGGTCTGGAGGCCGTCGGTGTTGGGGATCCCTAGGAGGATGAAATGAGTCACCACCGTGTGGTTAACCAGCTCCATTTGGGTCTCTTTCCTGGGGTAGGGGAGAGAAATACAGCCGTTGAGTTACAGAAACAAAAAGCCCTGCCACCCTCCAGCTACAATGCTCACCCTGCAGCCACTGTCTGACTCTCTTCCCTCAGGCGCAGGGTGTGTTTCATTGCTAGGCCCATTGACGTCGGGGACTCACTGTGCTGCTGGGGAGCACACAGAGACATGAAGATCCTGCAAAGGGGATCTCCAGGCTTCTCAATGTCAGGTCCTGCTCTTGTCTCCTGGGCTCTTCCATTTCACTTCTCTCTCGGCCTCTCCCCGCCCTTATTGCCAGTAACTGGGAGCTCCTGCGTGTGGTCCCCTTTGCCAGGTGGAGTTGGCTCCCTGCCGAGGGACGGCCTGTGTGCAGCCAGCGCCGGTCTGGCCATGGCCAGTGCGAAGGCAGAGCAGGCGGATGGCCCAGACACACCAGTGCGCGTGGGGCAGGACTGCCCAGCTTGTCACTGAGGAGCGTAGCTGGGAGCAGGGGGCTGTTAGAGAGAAGGGAAAGGAAAGGAGAAGGCAAGAGCCACAGCCAGGGCAGCTGGAACTAGGGCTGCTGGAGGTGGTACGGGTGCTGCCATCATGTCTAGGGTGGTTCTACAAGGAGAAGTGCAAAGTCCTGCCCGTGGGAGGGAGGAATCCCAGGCATTGCTACAGGCTGGGGACCCACTGGCTAAGTAGCAATGCGGCAGAATAGGACCTGGGGATGGCAGTGGATGAGAAGCTGGAGATGAGTCAACAGGGCGCCCTTGTAATGGCACATTGGGGTGCATTAGGAGGAGCAGATCGAGAGAAGTGATTAGTCCCCTTTATTTGGCGCTGGTGAGGCCACATCTGGAGTATTGTGTCCAGTTCTGGGCCCCCACTACAGAAAGGATGTGGACACATCGGAGATGGGCCAGCGGAAGGCGACCAAAATGTTTAGGGGGCTAGAGCATATGATTTTTGAGGAAAAGCTGAGAGGTTTGGGCTTATTTAGTCTGCAGAAGAGAAGAGTGAGGGGGGATTTGAGAGCAGCCTTCAACTTCCTGAAGGGAGTTTCCAAAGAGGATGGAGAGAGGCTGTTCTCAGTGGGGGCAGGTGGCAGAACAAGGAGCAATGGTCTCAAGTTACGGGGGGGAGGGGGTCTAGGTTGGATATTAGGAAAAACTATTTCACTAGGTGGGTTGGAAGCACTGGGATGGGTTCTCTATGGTAGGGGAGGAATCTCCATCCCTAGAGGTTTTTAAGTCTCATCTTGACACAGCCCTGGCTGGGATGACTGAGTTGGGGTTGGTTCTGCTTTGGGCAGGGGCTGGACTCAATGACTCCTGAGGTCTCTTCCAGCCCTGGGATTCTAGGATCACAACCAGGGTTCACACTTTGGTTCAGTGTCTTCCAGCACCTGACAACACATTGTTCCAGCTGCCCAGATACAGTAGGAGCAGCAGGGATGGGGTGGGGTTATGGCACCC